AAAAAAGAAAAAGAAAAAAAAGAGAGAAAGCGGCATTTGAGACATGCCAATTCCTAACAGTATAGTGCTCCATCAATGGCTTTCATTTCAGAGGTACTCCATCTCTCCCTACATGCTCTTCATTGAATGATCCCAAGACAGCCATTGCCTCTGTCACAGATTCTCCTAACAGATTCTCCATTAAATGTTTCCAAGACAGCCATCGCATCTGTCAGATCATTCAAGAACCCAAATCCAGTTGCTGCTTCATACTAGCATTGTTGTTTCCATCTTCCATCTTCTACATCCTGACAGAGAAATCTGAAAAAAAATTAGAAACAAGAACACCACGACTGGGAGTGGAAACTGCGTCTACTATGAAAGACCTTAATTCATGGAACCCTGAAATAGAAAGATGCACTTGAGACCTGCAAATACTTAACAGTTCCGTGCTCCATTAATGGGTTTCAGTTCAGAGGTAATGCATCTCTATCACATGCTCTCCATTGAATGTGCCCAAGAGAGCCATTGCCTCTGTCACAGAACCTTTCAAGAAGCCTAATCCAGTTGCTGCTTCATACAGCCATTGTTGTTTTCATCTTCCATCTTCTACATCATGACAGTAAAATCTGAGAAAAAGACTACCAGGCATGGGAGTGGAAACTGGCCTGTACTACGAATGCCCTAAAGTCATGGGACACCGAAAAAGAAAGAAAGGTAGACCCATTGGAGACCTGCAAATTCCTAACACTACAGTAATCCATCAATGGCTTTCAGTTCACAGGTAATCCATCTCTCCTAACATGCGCTCCATTTAATGTGCCCAAGACAGCCATTGCCTCTGTCACAGAACATTTCAAGAACACTAATCCAGTTGCTGCTTCAGACAGGCATTGTTGTTTCCATCTGCCATCTTCTACATCATGACCTGAAGTTCTGAGGTAAAAAACACCAGGCCCAGAGTGGAAGCTGGCCTTACTATGAAAGACCTAATAGTCATGGGATCCTGAAAAAGAAAGAGCAACCCATTTGAGACCTGAAAATTTCTAACAGTTCAGTGCTCCATCAATGCCTTTCAGTTTAGAGGTTATATGTCTCTTCTAACATGCTCTCCACTTCATGTTCCCAAGATAACCATTGCCTCTGTCACAGAAGATTTCAAGAACATTAACCCAGCTGATGCTTCAAACAGTCATTGTCATTTCCATCTTCCATCTTCTAGAGCATGACAGTAAATTTGGGGGAAAACACTCCAAACCTAGGAGTGCATTCTGGCCTGTACGCTGAATGCCCTGAAGTCATGGAACCCCCAGAAGAAAGAAAGACCCACTGGAGACCTGCCAATACCTAACAGTTCAGTGCACCTTCATTGGCTGTCACTTCTGAGGTCATATATCTCTACTAACATGCTCTTCATTTAATGTTCCCAAGGCAACCATTGACTGTCACAGAAATTCTCAGAACCCTAATCCAGTTGCTGCTCCACACAGGCATTGTCGCTTCCTTCTTCCATCTTCTACATCGTGACACTGAAATCTGAGGAAAAGAACACTATGCCTGGGAGTGGATGCTGGCCTTTACTATGAAAGACCTAAAGTCAGAGAAGAAAAGAAAGACCTGCTTGAGACCTGCCAATTCCTAACACTTCAGTGCTCTGTAATTGGCTATCACTTCTGAGGTAATTTCTCTCTCTGTTAACATGCTCTCCATTTACTATTCCCAAGATAGGATTGCCTCTGTCACAGAACAATTCAAAAACCCTAATCCACTTGTTCCTTTAGACAGGCATTGTCGTTTTCATCTTCCATCTTCTACATCATGACAGTGCAATCTGAGGAAAAGAACACCAAGACTGGGAGTGGAAGCTGGCCTGTACTGTGATGCCCTAAACTCATGGGGCCCTGAGAAAGAGTGAAGGACCACTGTGAGACATACAATTCCCAACAGTTCATTGCTGCCAAAATGGCTTTCAGTTCAGAGGTAATCCTTCTCTCCTACATGCTCTCTCCATTTAATGTGCCCAAGACAGCAATTGCCTCTGTCACAGAACATTTCAAGAACCCTAATCCAGTTACTGCTTCAGACAGGCATTTTTAATTCCTTCTTCCAACTTCTACATTATGACAGTAAACTCTGAGAAATAGAATACCTCCACTGGAAGTGGAAGCTTCCCTAAAACCATGGAACACTGAAAAAGATAGAAAGATCCACTTGAGACATGCAAATTCCTAAGAGATCAGTGCTCCATGTGTGGCTTTCAGTTCAGAGGTAATCCATCTCTCCGGATACACTCTCCATTTAATGTGCCCAAGACAGCCATTGCCTCTGTCAGAGAACATTTCAAGAACCCTAATCCAGTTGCTGCTTCAGAAGTCATTG